CGTGACTCAGCAACCAGATGCGGGCGGAGCGAGCCCCGGGCCGGGGAGGGGTGACCGGCGTCTTTGTGCTTCCCCGCTCAGGACCGCCCGCCCGAGCCGCTGCGCGAGCCTGGGCCCGGCCGCCCGAGCCCGACGCTGAGCCAATGCTAGATCTGGAAGTGGTTCCCGAGCGCTCTTTGGGCAACGAGCAATGGGAGTTCACCCTGGGTAAGTGCCGGCTCGGGCGCTGGGGGATGGGATGGGATGGAATGGGGCTCCTGCTCTCGGGGGCGCGGGCCTGTGGCCACTCTTCACTTGCTTTGCCTCTTATTTACCAGCTGCCTGGCATCCCTCCTTCCGGAGCCTCTTGTTGGCATGTTTTACCTGTCACTCGAAGAACTCCCATAATAGACCAGGGGGTTGCATCCCTCAGGGATGAGTAATGTCAGTCAGGTGACAGGGTGCCTGGTGCAGGGCTTTTGCCCGTGGGAATCTCAAGTGCTGTAGGAGTCTGAGAGTAGCTGAGTTGTCTTCATTTTGTACTGGGGAGGAAACAGTGGTAGAGTAAAATGCCGAAGGCACCTAACGGCATTTCGTGCCTTCAGCATGTTTTCCCTGCTTAGACTTTGTCTCCTTTAAAAGATGCTTCTTTTTTTTGTTCCTTCACCCACCCTTCTTCCCCCACCCCCATTTGGAGAGCCAATCTTTCCAACACCTGATGGAAATTTACTTTGCGTCCAGAGCTAACTCCAGGCGTTTGCACACAGTGGTGGGTTTTATATGGTATGGAATCGAACAGCTATTTAGTTTTCAAGCCTGTGTGTCTAGTGCTGTAAAGGTTCAACCCATGGCTACACTCTGCACTAATCTTAAAGCGGCTCTGAAGTTATTTTACAGTTACGTCTGGTTTTGGTATTAGGTTCTTTGCCCATAACTTCTTACTGTAGATACTACAGGTTTCTGAATTGCTCTTGGTTAAGATAGTCCTTTGTACACTAGCATTTCTTCTGTGTAGAAGCCAGTGTGTGGACACTTGTTTATCTAACCTGCTCAGAGCAGTTTTAAACAATGTAAGAATGGCTTTAGATGTTGGTACCACATCTGTGCTGTTACTCCCATTAATGCAGCAATGAGTGGAGGTGAACCAGTGGTGGAAAGGAATCATGGACGAAATACTCAAAAATCTTCAAAGGGCGTCTGTTAGGACCAGTGCTACAACTACCTGTGCCTACATGGACTTTGTTGAGGCTTCGTGTTGGTGCAGAGGTTCACCAGTATAAAGCTTATTATGGGTTTGTTGCCTTAGAGTTCTCCCTGAACTGTTTTTTATGGGTTTTGTGCAGCATAATTAATTAACTCCAGTGCTAAGTAGGATTTAATGGCTGATTTGAGTGTTGATATGGTTTTTGGAAGATAACTGTAGTAGCCTTCATTTTATGGTGGCTGCCCCCACTTTTTGACTGAACTATAAAATTGTCTCTCAAATAGTTTTTCAAATGGGCATCCTTTGATTAGGGTAGCAGCCCTGTAGTTGGGAAT